GATTTTGTAGCTGAGATTTCTTGTGTGTGTTTGGTTTTCTGGTTTTCCTTCCATGTAAAGGAGAACTCGGCAGAATGTAAGTGTGTTGGAAAGCTTGATGTTTTCAAGTTAGAGTCATGCTGGTTCTGGTGCTTTTGTCCTCTGTTTTGATTTTGCATGTTGGTATAATCATTGTGATATATAGAATACAAAAAAAAATGAACTCTGTTCTCTAGAAGTTTGCATTTCAAATCAAAGGAAATACACACCAACCATTCAACCCAAGGACATGAATTTGAATTGGAACAAGTGCCAATTTTCTTTAGGGCCATTAGACACCCATAACACATGTATAATATTTCAAGGTATCGGTTTTTGTCCTTTTGCCTACTAACACTTAGGATAAGCTTTCTTGCCCATAATGTATCATATCTTTCTGGCTATTACTGAAACTAAAGTTCACTTTCAAAGTGAACTATTAATATTTGTTTTTGTATGCAGACAAGCTGCTACATAAATCATTTATATATGCACCCATGGGTTTAGAATTAAAAGTCAGAAGTCATTTTATAAGTGGGAACCTATTTGCAATGCATAATGGAAACAATAACTGCAATTATGGCGCTGATTTCTCTTGCAGAAAGTGATATGTATGACTCTCATCTCCAGCTGTTCATATCCTAAAGTTTAAAACTCTTGAGATTTTGAACATGAGCTCAAACACATAATTTGTAGCAATAATAAGGAACAAAACTTCAATTATATAATACCTACTTTTTCAACTTTCTTTTATAAAGTTATATACCTTATAATATAAAGTAAAAAGAATCAGTCATGTGATTTAAAATAATGTGTGGGGTAATTCAAAATAAACTCCTTATAATTTTATTCATATTGTTTTACTTACAAAGTGCTATGCTTACAAAACTTTTATTTTACATACAACTTTATTCCTTCTTAAACAAATGATATATATGCAATGATGATAACATTGTCTTATTTTAGCTCTCCAATTGATAAAGGCCATTTTATAGGCATTTTCTTTAAGCCCTAAAACAAGCACACATTTAAGAAACATTTAATACAACAAATCTTTTTAAATACTTGGGAAAGTTTTGAGTTATTATTTGAAATAACCTACAAATGTTCCCCAAATGTCACACAGATGAAGTGAATGTGGAAGTTGACATCTGGGACTGACACATGCAGCCCTCCCCTCTGGCTCTTACAGGCTGCCTCTGGGGCTCTCACGGGCCCCTCATCCTTATAGCACCATCCATGCCGCACACAATCTATTTCTCTCATTGATGAAGTTGGGTCAACACCCTAATTATGGTATGGGGATTTAAGATACTTAATTTTGATAATTTGGTAATTTTAAAAAAGTTAAATTCATTGAAAAATAATTTTCAATGAAATATACAATTAGGAACATTGGTCCAACCAATTACTACAGACTGCAGTTTTCTACATGTGAGGTTAAAGCATACCATGGAAAGCCTAAAATAAACATTTTTGGTAAAGTTTTAAACATGCCAGTAAAGGAGAAATAGTCAAAAGTGAAAGAGAATCTGGTATTCAGAAAAACCTTACATTTCTGAGTTCCTAACTGAAGTGCTTGCTTTTCCTATCCTGGTGCCTGTAAAAGAACATAAATTTGTAGAATTTAATGTCTTTCAAAGAGTTTTCACAAATAGGTATGATATACAAAAAGTGACTATATTAGAATTTCCATCTCAACATATATTCTGTGGCTCTTTTTTCTGAAAGAAGCTTCTCTGGGGAGCACATTTAAAACCTCTTCCTCTAATGTTCAATAAACGACATGTAAAATAAAACATGGATATTTTATTAAGAATTTTCCAAGATACTTTCTCATTAGGCTACCTGTCAAATTCTGAAATAATGACCTGTCATTACAAGTTACTAATGACCCTCATTCCCTGTAGCTTGCCATTAACATTAACACAAAACCAACAGACTCATAATATTAACTTTGAGTAGAAAACACAGATAGAAGTAGATTTCAAGTCATATATTTTATCTGACATCAAGATTTTAGCACTTTGTTTTCTTCACTCTCAATTTTAAAGTATTTAAGTAAATGTTACTACTAAGTTGAGAGAGAATGGTAAATATGGTAAAATGGTAGCCATTGGAGAGTTTGGTAAAGGGGACTTGGGACTTCTTTGTGTGATTCTTGCAATGTTTCTATAAGTTTGGATTTATATCAAAATGAAGGTGGTAAAAACTCCGTACTAATAGCAGCCCAAATTCTGAATTTTCAATCTTTAAAATCTTTCTCTTAGCATGAGAAGATTTTGTGTCACTAGCTCAAATGGGTAATTCCTCGATGATTTCTTTCCACTATGGGTAATGTATTCATAAATATGTACACTCATGAGCAGGTGGTGAGTGGGACTTCTTTTCCTAAAAGACAGACTTCAGGGAGTAAATGTGTTTATGTGTTTTTTGGGGGGTGTTTTTTTTTCCTTTGCAAATGGTCTGTCAATGAAACATTTATCATTTAGTCATTGAGTTTCAAAACACATCCAGGCAGATCTGGTATTTTGAAATGTTATAACCAGAGGAAACTTAAGTCAGTCATCTATATTTCTAGATAAAAATGACCCCCTGTGGTTTACCCAAGAATACAGGCTGGTTAAACAAAGCCAGATTGGAATCCAGGTCTTCTAATACCTACCCAGAATTCTTCTCATGAACAAACAAGTAAGCAAAGTTGAGAAGAACCAGGGACCTAACACAGAATTCTCCTGTGCAGAAGAAATGCTACTCCATATATTGAAAGTATGGAAACAAGGAAGGAAGAAAGGAGAGAGAGAAAGAGAGTCAGACTTTTCATATAAATAAGGACAATCAACATAAGACAGGAAAAAAAGAAACTGGAGAGAATAGTAACACTGAGGTAGCAACAGTAGTGACAGAGAGTGTGACAATTGGAGAAAGTAGAGACCACCTAACTGGAAAGATCTAGAACTAGAAAGTGGAGTAACTGAAAAAGATAGTATAGCAAGAGCAGTGAAATTTTAGGAATGAGAAATCAGAGGACATCTTTGCCATGCCCTAATGGGCAAAGTCTAATTTTTTCATCTTCTACCTTCCCCAGCACCATCTATCCCTAAACATACATATAATAGGTGTTCTATGAATACTTGAGAAATTTCAATACGTGGCACCTTTCACAACTTACACTGAAAATGTAAGAGAAAATATCTTGACTCAGGCATGAGATTTCCCATGTCTCCTTGATAGATACTTAAAATGATTTTTTTCAAAAGATAATTCAGACTATCTGAACAAAGTAGAGATTCTATATGCAGAGCAATGAATAAGCTTTACTGAAGATAAGGCTCTCCTCGTCTGCTTTAAATACATTTTTCACATGGAGGGCATAGCAGAGGACTTTAGGAAGAGTTACATGAGCATCGTTTTTCCAGGTGTGCTTCAAAACAACATTTTGAGATCATAACTACTATAAAAATGCATAATATATTGTTTTAGACATGATCAGTTTACTGAAAATGTTTTTATAAATCCTGAGAATGCCATTTTCTCCAGTTGTTTGCCTGGAATCCATAATACTAGCAAGTTTCTTAAAGAGGGATCCATAGATTCCCAAGTTACTCATCACTGCCCTGTATGACCCGCCGCAAAAACAGCAGTGGAATTTGACACAGGCAAATAGAAATGACAAATGCATTGCTTTAGACCTTAACCGCATGTGTTTTCTATATAAAACATACAACAGCCCTTTTGAACTTTGCAGTTGCCATTTAAACTATAATATGCTGTCAGCATAATCTTCTAACAGTAAAGTAATTCTAGGTCTGTGTACTTCCCCAAGGTTACCTTCACAGGAAAAAGCTGTAAAACTTCAAGGCATTGTTTCCAATATTTTGTACTGGGAAAATGACAAACTTTTGGGTGCTTTCCCTTTAGACAAGTGGGTTCTGGTGACATCCTGGAAATGAGATTTCAACTTCATAAGCATTCAAAATTAGTAACTGAAAGTTTTCATTTATTAAAAGTTAGCAAGTGGAACTACTGAAAAGCTTCCACATAGCAGCACAGGAAAAAAGGCAACCTGATGAGTGGGAGAAGATATTCACAACTCACATACCTCACAAGAGATTAATATCCAAAACGAAGACCTCTTACAAATAAACTGGGTTTCAGTCAGAAAATGGATAATGCAGCCAAAAAGACACTTTTCCAAAAAGACATACAGATGGCCAGTGGGTTCATGAGAAAAGTTTACCCATCACATTATTAGGGAAATGCAGGTAAAATCACAAAGGGATATCATCCCACTTCCTACTACTAAAAAAAAAAAAATCATTACGAGTAAAAAAAAATAATAAAAGCAAAGAAACTACAATTATTGGCAAAAGTGTGGAGAAAAGGGAGGCCTGTGAACTGGATGCAGACTGTTACCTCCAATTAGTAGATGAGGAAATGAAAGTAAGAAAATTTCAAAGGATTCCATGGCTAGTTAAGTGACAGAGCTTGATGGGAACCTGTGTGTTCCTGGTTTTAAATCCTAGGTTATTCATGGGACCTACAGCTGTCTGCCCTACTAACAATGTAAATCATCATGAGTGGAAAGTTACGTAAATGTAACTTTATCTGTGACAGATAAAGGTTTAGGTTGGGGGCCTGTAATCCTACAATATACCTAACCAAGTCTACTAATTCAAGAACATAATTTTCTTATAGCTCATTAACAACATATTCTTCTGCATCTTGAAAGCTTGAGGATTTTGTAACTCTGGTGTAGAAACTTTTCATTACTACCCTAAGTATAATCAGTGCTAACTTTAATGAATGAGCAGTTCTGGAGAGAGAAAAATAAAATGATACATACCATCAGTTTATGAGCAAGATCACAAGGAGCAATTTATTAAAATATATGTGAAATAAAATTTTAGTAATTATTGTCAGGATATACATTATTTACAAAATGTTGTGAATTTTTCTGTAATGATCATGTTCTGTTGTAGAATGAATATTTAAATGAAGATGTTGATGCTAGAGTTATTGAATATGAAGATAATCGGTCCCTCTTAGATATGTTTCTGCAAAAACCAATGGGTTTACTATCCCTACTTGATGAAGAAAGCAGATTTCCCAAGGCCACTGACCAGACTCTTGTAGGTGAGTTTTGAATCTAGTATATCCAGTGATTTTTTTTAAAAATTTTACTTTTCTGCAAGAAAATACCTGCAAAGAAGCTTTAGATCTAATACCTACATGATTGAATTTTATAACAAGGTAAAATATTTAGTGATGAATTAAACAAGTTCAAATATTGGACATCTCCATACTTTATTCTCAAGCCCCAAACAAGTTTTTGGTAAAAATAATCTTAGAAATTATCTGACCAAAATTAGAAATTGGAGGGAAACTATAACTTGCAAAGAGATATGTAATCAGGAGGAAATAAATTGCTCAATGATAGTCTAGTAATTTATCTAATTGAGGCAAATAGCCTAAAATACCTTAATATTATCTAAGTCACAATACATGAGTAAATGTTCATGATAATATTTCTAAATCATCAAGGAAAGATTAAACATTTATTCTGTTTCTATATGTAAGAATATCATCATCTAAAATAGTAAAATAAAAACGTCCTCAAATTAAGAAAAAGAACTCCAGATTTTTAAGGTATTTGAAAAAATATTTCTTATAATGTGGAAGCACCATATACCTTGGTGGTAAAAGTAATTCATTATGTATAATAAATACTCATAAAATGTTCAAATTCCCTTTTCTTCTCACTTACTTTTGGTGATACACAGAACTGTATCTTACTATTAAGTCTGTGATGTTGCTTTCTTCTAACTCTCTGATGGGCTATTCTCTCCCCAATTGAACAATACTGGATGGAAAAGAAAATAATTCCCAGGAGGTGGGCATTATCATTTCATAATAGTCACTTGATTCTGATGCTAAGCTGTTCCTCTGAAACACGAAGTTCTCTGAAGACAGTGACTTTGTCGAGGAACTCCAACTGCATTCATGAGCCTATCGAGCATCTGTTGGAATCAATAATAACCCACTGCTCCTCTCTAGAAAGGAGAACCAAAGCACCAGATTTCTAGGCAAAGCTTAACATCAAACTGTTTCACAAACCTCCTTGATGGGTCAGCCTCAAGTAGTTTCCTTCCTTTGTGCCTGTAGTTCTCAAAATGTGGTCCCAAGCCTGCAACATCAGCATCCTGGGACCCGGAAAGCTTGCTGGAAATGTGAGTTCTTGGATTCTATTTCAGACCTGCTGGTCAGACACTCTGCAGGAGAACCCAGCAGTCTGCATTAACAAACCCTCCTGGTTATGCTTGCTAGGGTTTGAGAGCTACTGCTCTAAGTTTTAAAGGAATGATACAATCCCTAAACATGAGTTTTGCTTTACCCTTTATAATTCTATTCCAAATCTGCATGTATTAGCTATATAAAATTTACTGTCTTTTTTTCACATCACATTGTGCATTTTATGGTGAAAGAGATGATTCTGTCAGTCAGTATTTTTTGAGCATTTCCTGCATGCTTAATATTGGAATTCAATTTATTTACTACAGAAAAATTTGAAGGTAACCTGAAATCACAGTATTTCTGGAGACCCAAAAGAATGGAACTTAGTTTTGGAATTCATCATTATGCAGGAAAGGTAAGCCTCTGAGGAATTATGACTGAGTTTCTCTTTAGTCTTTCATTAAATAATAAGGCCCATAATTTTTGTAGGTCATTATAATGGAAGAGCCATCTGTTTCTGCCCTTCTCCTGTCCTAACTCTGCTCTTCAACTTCTACAGTCTGTCCAGTTCTTTGCCAACCACTCTTTTACAAAGGCCATCCCCTCTAAGGCATCTATCCTGAAAAGGGTTAAAAATCCCTCTCTTATATCAACAAATATAAGATTATCCTTTATATAGAATAATTTTTATTGAGACACTAAGGGATATTAGAAAGAAAAGAAAGAGAAAAACCTTTAAGAATCCATCTTTCTGATCCTACAATATGGCTTTGGGTGAGATTGGCCAAGAGTGATTACTTTTATCCTTTCTTTAAATGATAGCCAGGAACTTTTTATATAAATTGCCTTTTTTGGATTTTAGATGCCTCTCTCTTTTATTTTATTATTTTTTTGCCTTTTTTTTTTTTGCCTCTCTCTTTTAAAAGTAACTTTAAAAAGTCTTTGTGTCAGAAACACAGATACCCAGAGTGCACTTAGACCACACTGCTACTGAGACAAACAAATATATGGCTAATTCACTGCTGGTCAATAAAATAGAAATGAGGGTGCTTTGGTGGCTCCAATGTGCTTTCTTTTTGCTGCCCCTAACTTTCTAAGCATGGAAAGGAAACACCAAATTTCCAACATAGTATTTGACCATTTCAACCCAAATAAAATCAAAAAGACACAAGTTTTTTTCTGACAAGGCAAACTGGCAAATCTGGAGAAGTTCACCTTTCCAACCAAATTATAGGGACTACCTTTATAAATCTCTGTATACCTGTTGCCCAACACAGAATACGCTCTCAGCAAATATCTATCAATAATTGTAATAATGACATTGATTGTCATAATGACCATCATGCTTTATCAACAGGTCTTCTATAATGCTACTGGGTTCTTGGCTAAAAATAGAGACACTCTTCCAACTGATATTGTGCTACTGTTGAGGTCATCAGAAAACAGTGTAATTCGGCAAATAGTCAACCATCCGCTGACAAAGACAGGTGAGCTAAGACACCTACTCTAACTGAGAAGTTTCCTCAGGCCCAGAGTAGTAATTTCTGTCTCTGTGATTTTCATCAGTAAAATCCTCAGTTTTTCATATTGGTTGGTTTTTAGCTCCTTAAATATGCAATTGTTAATATCCTTTGTTTCGAGCACCTGAAGAAATAAAATATAAAGAAGCTAGATGTTTATTGAAGAAAAGTGTTTGAAGCACTCAGAAGAAAATACAATGGTGTCCTGGCTTCTCACTGGGAGGGTGCACTCACCTCCAAGGAGTGCAGAATTACTCGCTGTTCTAAAAGTGGGCAGCTTTTGAATGGTACTTTGAGGTTCTACAAACTTTGCCCAATTGATTAAAAACTCACATGACATTGTTTCACCCAACCATATACATCCTTGCATTTGCTTTTAAAATAGTAAAAAATTATATAGTTGGATTGTTTTTCTTTATTCAAGTTTAATATTGGTTCCTTGTGTTTCTTTTTTAAAATTTTTTAAATTGCTTTTTAAAAATGCTTTTTAATATACATTTTTAATATTTTAATATTAAATTAAAAATTATATATTTTTAATATTAATATAATGTTTTAATATTTTAATGCTTTTTAATATACATATTTACAGTAAAAGTGGCTTAGTTTTTGAATTACGTAAACTGTAAGACCATCATCACAATCAATAATTAATGTCACTACTCATCACCCCCAAATGATGTTTCCTCATGACCCTTTGTATCCCTTCACTCCTCTCTACCCCCGTTTCAGTTGTTCCAGCACCATTTGTTGAAAAGATTGTTCTTTCCCCCATTGAATTGCTTTGACACCATTATTGAAAATCAATTGTCTTTATACATATAGGTCTATTTCTGGACGCTACTCTGTGTAGATATTTGTCTGTCTTTATGCCAGTACTACAATTCCTCATTACTATAGCTTTATCAAAAATCTTGAAGCCATGTAGTATAAGTTACCCAACTTCATTCTTTTTCAGATTTGCTTAGGCAATTATAATTTCTTTGCATTCCCATATGAATTTTGTTGTTGTTTTTTTTCTTTATTCTTTTATCCAGTTCCAAGGGACCTGTGCCTTGGTCATTCAGACAAAGCAATCTTGTTCAGTTGTGGAACTGAGGCAGGTGTAGTTGTTTCATGGAAGCTTTCATTGAATGCAGGTCACTCAGGCTTTAGTATAAATTTTAAATGAGTGTGTCAATTTCTCCCAAAAATCCTGGTGGGATTTTGATTGGAATGCATTCAAACTGTAGCATAATTTTGAGAAAATTGGTATCTTCACAATATTGAGTCTTCTGATCAGGTAGCACAGTATAGATCTCCATTTATTTAAGTCTCCTCTAATTCTCTCATTAATATTTTGTAGTTTTCAATGCATGAATTTTGCACATCTTTTGTCACAATATCTGCTAGTGTAGCACACATTTATTCTAAGTGGTTTTTTTTTTCAACCAAAGTCTGTGTATTGCTAAAATGTGATACCCAATTCATTTTTGATAGTGATCTTTTGGCCTGCACAGTTGATGAGCTCATTTATTTGAGTAGTGTTTTTTGGTAAATGTCATGGGATTTCCTATATAGATGATCTAGTCATCTGTTAATAAAGATATTTGCCCTATATTTTCCATTCTTTTCACTTTTTATTTCTTTATTTTACCTGGTTGCACTGGTAGAATCACCAACACAATGTTGAATATGAGTGGTAATAGTGAATATTTTTTGCCTTATTCTTGATCTTGTGTGGAAACATTCAGTATTCCCCATTGAATATGATGTTAGCTGAAGGTTTTTCATAGATACCTCTCATTAGGATGAGGAAGTTACTTCCTATTACTAGCCACTGATATCCATAGATACATTTAGTTTGTTGTTAAATGATTTTAAGACTAGTGTATAAATTTTGCTAACATGAAATTATAAATCCTTTACCAAATCTCCTCTAGTATTTTAGTTTTCAGATAAGATTTTAGTTCTTATTTGGCTAATATTAGGTAACACAGTACCTTAAATCACAGATCTATCCTCATTAATGTGCTACTAGCAACTCGTGTGTAGTCATCATACTTCCATGCTGCCAAGAAATCTCCAGGTCCCTGCTAATTTTTTTATAATTCTTTCCCTGGTGATCCTTAAAGAAAAAAATAGACAATAAGTGAAATTCCTAATGCTGTGCCTTGAAAATCATCTATTACTCTTCTTTCCACTTTGCTTGTACTTGGTAATTTCACTTTTGAAGAATGAATAGTGCAGCATGTAGTTGCAACCCACACATCCCATCCCAGAAATTTGCTTGAAGTTAGAAGCATCAGGGAAGAGGCACTGCCAGCCACATCCCAGACAGGGTTTCATCCTGCACATCGCTCAGAGTCAGCCTCATACAAACGCAAAGAATGTGGAGGATTGCCAAAAATATATATATCCTGGAGGATCCAAGATGGGGTCAGAGGAAGTTCCTTGCTTTGCTCCCAAGAGGCTCATCTAGGTTAAACAGTGGAGTACTGCACCTGTTGCTTAGGACAAAACTAGAACACTTCCTGGATATCAGAGACCAGGCAGACTGCACCAAAAGTGACACAGGATAGACTCAAGCTGCAGTGAACAAGAGGTAGGTTAAAAGAAACACTTGGGTGAGGTTGTAGTCAAGGCGGGAGGCTGCTGTACAGACCACACCTTCCACTCAGCCAGATGTCCAGGGGAGAGCCCAATGGTATGTATGGATGCGCACCCTTGACTGAGGGAAAGTATGGAAAGGAATTTGGGTGCTTCTAGCCAACCAAGTCCCCAGTAAAACAATGATATTGTGCTGAGCTTCACTCCTCATAGCCCCCCTCAGAACTGGTACTGACTTTGTGAGGCTCACAGATAACACTCAGAGACTGTAGCATCTCAGTCTAGAACCCCAGAAAAGAGAACTCTTGGTGGTAACACAAACATGAACCTACAAATACCAACACACACATGCACGTGCACACAAACACACACACACACACAGAGTTTGATCCCTTCAAGCCTCTACACCACCCCTGACTCAAACAGCTCTCAGATCGGGTCTCAGCTCTACTAACCCCAGAAAGTCCAAACATGCAAAATCATGTTAGAAACACAGTACCACCTGCTGTGTGGAAAGGTAATAGTTCAAATCTCTAAGCCCTAAAACAGCAAGATGGGCAGATAAATAAACACAAAAGGCAAGTTGAGACCTCAAGAGACTATGAGATTAGAAAGAGAGAATAACGGTCAGAACCCTAACACAAAGATATGGAAGATTTTATCTTCCTGTGAGATACAAGAGTTTGAAATTTCCATGATAAAGAAATTCAAAGAATTGGGAGAAAATGCAGAAAAGCAAGCCAAAGTGATAAAAATTCTGTAAAGTTAAACAGATTAAGAAAATACCAGAAAAACAAAAAAATGTCATGAACAATATAATTAATAAACAGATAATAGAAATTGAAGTTAAAGTAAGAAAATAAAAATGTAAAAATATCAATAGAAGAGATAAAAAGCTCTGCAGAAAGCTATGGAAGTGATTTGGACCAAATGGAGGATCAAATCAGTGACCGTGAAGGTAATAACGCACACAGACTCAGGTGGAAGAAAAAAGAATATGAAGGGGAGGGTGAGGAATGAAGAAACACTTGAGAATTAAAAATTTGTTGTGAAATTTCACATAATTTTATTTTATCCCCAAACTACTCAGCAGTTAACCAGGCAGGTGAGTACAAGTATTATGGAATCAATGATGCTTATAGCATTTAAGTAAAAAGCAGAAGTCTTCTAGCCTTTAAAGATTCTAAGAGGTATATTAATTTTGTAAACCTTCCCACAGGCAATCTGCCACATTCTAAAACTGAACATATAATAAACTATCAAATGAGGACTTCAGAAAAATCAATCAACCTGACAAAGGTAAGAAAATGCATTTTTCATGACAGAAGTCTTACCACTATAATCTTTAGAATCTCAATATTTGTACCCTCCTAAAAGTAAACAGCCTTTTCCTTAGTCTCTGCCTTCGATCTTTATTTCCTTCTTAAATAGGTGTTTATGTTATATTCATATTACCAATAGTCACTAAAGTAATTATGCAAATTTAATATATTTCTAACTCTTATAGCTACTTTAAGCTACACTAAGACCATCTAAATATGTATTAGCTAAAGTCAGAGATATTCACATTCTGTGTAAGATCCATTAAAATTCCAGTGAGTCTGAGAAAGCAATTACCTTGAAGTAAAAATATCACCAACATTTTGTTGTATATATTTGAATGACTATGATGACTTGAAGGAAATTCTTCATACTCCCTCTAGATCAGAAAGCACGACAGGTACAGAAGCATCACGGTCTTCTTTGGTCTTCTTTGGTCTTCTTAGGGTGAAACTGGAGACGCCACATGTCATGCCAGAGAGACGACCAACATGAAAACACAAACAGTCGCATCATATTTTAGAGTAAGATATTAAATTATGACGTGTTGTGCTTAGGACTGTTACTTATTCTAAATGAGATTTATGGACCAAAAGCTTGTAAAAAAAAAAAAAGTTTTTAGTTTGTATTGTCAAAAACTTGTTGATCCATTCACTTTGCTATTTTACAGTCTACAAGGTTGACTTTAAAGATCTATACCTTGATTAGACCATGTAAATAAGCCTTTCCACTAGAATAAAATTGAAACCTAAACCTAAATGGATTTTTAATTACTATGATAATTATCATTTTTCCTTTCCACTCCTGAATGGGCTTAGACAGATGGATAAGGCTGTTGATCATCCATCTCCACCCCATATCTCCCTATATATAGACCTTGCCTCTTGCAAGAAAACTTTCAGGAAAACGCCAAGAAAGTGAATTGTTGCATTCTTAGCATAGGGTCAAGGTTACCTTTCTTCCTTGGATAATATGGCAGGAAGGAAAGAATAGTTTATTTTCTCTGTGCTCTGGACTGTTCTAGATAACCCTGCCCACAATATTGGTTCCAGTTCTTGTTTATCTCTTCTGATAAAATCATATTAATTAGTCAATGAAAATGAAAAGAAATACCACCCAAAACTTGAAATGCTTTTAAAAATAGCTAGGTCATTTTATTAAATAGTTTTCAAGTCCTAAATTCATAGTAAACAGTGTGTCCTTAATCATATTTGAGTAGCACTAGCATGTTTATATGCTTAGTATCTCAATTGTCCTGCTGAGACATTCACCTTACATCAGGACTGCAGCACAGCTGAACCACCAAGGACTTAGAGCAGGTTATTTTCTTTCTTTTAAGTGAGTTATCTAAGAACATTATCATACCACTGTTGTTGACATCAAACACTGTGTATGTTTAAATCATTGGTTCATAAAATTGTTTTATACCTCAGGCTAACATGAAAAGTGATAGAAAATTTCATGTAAATTTAATGTATTTTTAAATTTATTTTTCATTCCTCAGAAAAGAATGAACTTAGTGTAACACTCTGAACTGCTCCCTAAGAAAAAGCAATGCCTACATTGCAGTAAGCCTTTGCACAGAAGCCAGCAGATACATATATCACCTTTGTATCTCCAGTGCCTGGCAGATGTTTGCATGACTAAAGGAATGATGACTCACAGATAAGTGTAATGAAAAGGGCTCCAAATCGGCAGACCCAGCTGTTTGAAGATCACATCTGAGTCTCACTGCCCAAGAGGAAGCCATGCAAATCTAGTGTTTTGTCAGTTGCCCAATTTCAGTATTTGGTTAGCACCAGCTTTGTATTTCCAGTACTAAAAGAGAGCCAGCTGACAACAGCTATTTATGACCATACATTTATTACCTTGCTAATAAATTGTCATCCTGGTATTTGACATACTAGTTTTCTGGGGTTTACTTCTAGTTGAATCAGATTATCCTAATACATTACATATAGTTGTCCAGCACTTGGCCAGTATTTCTACAGAACATAGTTTTAATATCTATGTGATTTTTACAACTCTAAAATAAATTAAAAATTATTGAACTAGAGCAGATTAGGATACTTATATGGATCTATTTATTTGTATAGCTCTGTCCTGTATATTAAACTGCATTAACTTCTCAGTCCTTATTTTCTACTAGGGGATAATTCTGACGGGTGAAGTATTGACTTTCATACTTTTTATAGAGTTAAGCAAGGAAATTAACAGAATAAACAGGAAACCAGACTATGTGCCTAAATACTATAATTCAGCAAGTTTCCCTGAGATAATAGTTTTTTACAACTGAATCAAAATAATTTTATCTCTGAAGTTGACTAAAATTTACATACTTTTAATAGCTAAGTTCCTAGTTTTTGCCTCTATTTTATGAGTAAATCTATAATACTTAAAATACTAAAAATAAAAATTTTATTAAGCCAGACCTCCCTTCACTGTAAATTAGTATGAGCATCTGAAACATCCAATTTTCAGAATTCATTCTTATAATAGAAGAAAGACCTCTAGGGCCTCCCTCATGGCGCAAGGGGGTAAGCACCGCACTATGAAGCAATACTCAGCCTCGGCAGCACAAGTTCAATCCCTGGCCAGCCAGGGAGAAACCCACATGGCGCAGCAGACTTATCCTGTCTCACCCGCTGTTCCCCTCAGCAGTGTATTTCAGTCAATCTGCCTGTTCTGCTCCCCACTCTGTCTTTGGTAAATCCTCTCAGCACCCTCACCTCTGGCCTGTACCCCAGCTCTTGTATGCATAAACAAATAAATCTTAAAACAAAAAAAAAAAAAAAAGGAGAAGAAGACCTCTAAGCTCATAAGCTTTTGTATGGTTCACTGAGAAATTTATTTTTGTTGCATATTATAGTATTCTCTGATGGATTTGTTATCCAAAATGGTGGTGGGCCAGCCTCACTTTGTCCGTTGCATCAAACCCAATAATGAACGTCAGGCAAGAAAATATGATAAAGAGAAAGTTTTGCTACAGCTTCGTTACACAGGAATTCTGGAAACAGCAAGAATTCGAAGGCTAGGATACTCACATCGGATACTTTTTGCTAGCTTTATAAAGCGGTATGTAAATTTCTTTTTAAGTTCCCCTGTCCGATTTGTATATAAATTCTTCATAAGAATTATAGAAAAGAACATTTATTAAAGATAGGTGTGGAAATATGCATTAGGTTTAAAAAATAAACTATTCAGGTCAGGCCACATGTGTCAACCTTTAAAGTTCCTTCATTGTACTGGAAGGGGAGATGTCACAGGGACACCTCCAGGGACACCTTGACAGGTGCGCCACCCCTGCAGTCACATGGGTCCGATGCTTGGAAGCTTAGAAAGACCACACACCTGGTCAAATGCCATCCTGCTGCTGTCTCCTAAAATCCTTAATAGTTGTTGTGACAGGGCCTTGCATTTTAATTTTGCACCAGGTCTCAGTTATTTTGTAACTGGGGAGGAACACTGAATTTTAAATCTGGCTTGATCATCAAAAATTAACAATCCAGGGCCTCCCCTGGTGGCTCAGCGGTTGAGTGCTGGGCTGCAAAGCTGCCTGCAGCCTCTGCAGCGCTGGTTTGATCCCCGGCCACCAGCGAGGGTCCCACATTGCGTGACAGACCTCTCCTGCCACACCCGCTGCTCCTTTAGCAGTGTATTTCGTCGGTCTACCTGTTCTGTTCCCCGCTCTGGCTCTGGTGAATTCTCTCACCAGAGAGAATTCTGACTGTACCTAGTGCTTGTATAAATAAATAAATAAATCTTTTTAAAAATAATTAACAATCCAGTTAAGATTATTAGAACCATATACATGGAAAGTTAATAAGCATTGCAAGGTACTAAATACCAATGTCCAAGGAAATGATGAAAACAGTGTATGAGTCAAAGAAGAGAAAGGTTATCCCCAGGAGGGCTGATCAGAGAGATTATCAAGAAAGAGAGCCCAAATTGGGGTCTGATGATGGGTATAATTTGTGGGAAAGACTGGAAGGCAATTTCTCAGTGTGCTTGTTGGTGTGCCAAAAACCAGAGACTTGGATTAGACTGGATTGGCAGAGCATGCATTAATGAAGTCACAGAAATTATAGAAGATAAGATAGGGGAAAAAAGGAAAACTATCAGGTTAAAATTATCGAGAAAGAGCTTTGAATGCCTGACTAAATGTACATTTTCAAAGTTGTCCACAGTTTTAGAATATGGACCATAAAGACAACTAAACTGATTTTCTTAATAATATTCAATTGAAAGTTTATTTAGAAGGTGTGAAATGAACATAAATTCTTAATTGTGCTTCCAAGTCCTGTTCTGTTATAAAATTGCAAATTACTACATGTTAATGACAGAAGTGGGGGGAGTAAGTATATAGAAAACATGATAGCTATTCCAAAAACAGGACATTCCAGAAATAAAAGGCTAAATTTTTTTCTCTGCCACTAATTTGAAAGCAGTCATCTAAATCGTCCTAGACTCTTAGGAAGTCGGACCAACTTGCAAAGGCCCTGTGGAGGTGTAAATGGAATGAATGAACCTACTCCATCCTGCCTTGCCCTTTAAGTAACCCTCCTTGTACCATGCAGAATTCATCAGACCCTTTGTCTATTCGCAGTACACTAACTCTTCTGTTTGTGACGAAGAAATAATCTTAAGGGTAGAGACACAACATGAACTTCCTTTGCATAATACACTGTTTAACTATAGTTGTCTCAATCCTTATACTAAGGATTGAGTGTAAGGAATCCTTATACTAAGACACCCCTGAAGTTAGTCCATTTTTCCAGAAGATACCATTTCCACCGCTTCCCAACTCATACTTAACATTACTTTACCCAGCCTTTGAAAACACCTGCTTTTGCCATCCTTGCTTAGAACCAGGAAAATTTTCAGAGGCTTTCAAGTCAGGAAAGGACATGATCAAATTTTCATTATATTCAAGTAATTCCAGATCTGTGGAAATTGGGGAGGAAAGAAAAGGGGGCAGAGGGAATGTAGAGGGATGTAACCAGTGGAGAGCAATGACAAGTTGGGGTCTCTCCTGCATTAACCCCTGACTCACTTCCTCCCTTTAGTTATTGATGTAGTAAACCAATAGAGGAAAACTCCAGGGAGAGACATAATGTAACTCAAGAACAGTGATGAAAGGCATGTCTACAGTGGTGAGAGCTTCTGTGAAAATAAACTCTATTCAATTTCAAGATCAGCTTCCGGTGTTTTTGTGAAGATGAGAAAAAAAATAAAAGCTTTCTCTCTGCATCTTACCACTACATCTAGTGCCCAGAGGAAAGTTTTTACTTTTTAAAAAATACCCAGCTCATTTTTTTTTTTTTTTTTTTTTTTTAGTTACACAGCTTTTGGGCGAGGGGCGGATTTCGGTCTTAAGTCTTGAAAAGCCATCACTAAAGTGAAAAACAGTATTCAAATTTATACAAGTTAACTGGTCCAAATTTGTGTTGATCTAGAGTTCAGGCTATTCCAGAGCTTTTCTAAAAATCCTCTTTGTTAAGTCTCAGGGGTCTCCCCTCCCCTGTACACAACTGTCCAGTTTCCACCAGGCTGCTGAGACATTTGACCTTTGTGAAATACTAACCAACCCTTTCTTCCATTTGAAGGTACCATGTTCTCTGTTACAAGTGGAACGAAGATCCCCCAGTGAGCCCTGATACCTGTGTCGCTATTTTGGAAAAAGCTGGTCTTGATAACTGGGCTCTTGGAAAAACAAAAGTAATGTTTTCGTGTCATTTTCAAGAAAAAAGTTAATAGTTTTAACCTTTGAAAATGATTGAAAATAGCAAGGCTTTTTATGCTACAGAATCTGTAGCCTGACATACGGCAAGCAAATTGGTAAACTCATACAGATTTCCTTCTTCAGCAAACTTAAACAGTTTTGCTCTTATGAAGATTTCTTTTATGAAATTCAGGAAATAGTCATCTTGAGAATTTATCCCAAAATGGATGAAATTTATAATGAAAAATCTTCAAATAGTATTGAAAACAGATCAGTATATTCTCCCTTCTTTCTCACTACCAAATATAGCCACAAAACTTTAGAGAATCATAATGATCTAAATAGGATGCTGTTTTTCTAATTTTCAATTCTGCTTCAGTTGTAAACTTAAAATTTATCCAGAGTGAAATATTTGCCATTATTATTAGATTTGTTATATGTGTTTGGCTATGGTATATTAGATTTGAGAAACTTTGAGAGCTATTTTTTAATCCTGTAGAGACTAAAAATAACATATCATAACCAATTTTGAATATCACAGGTGACGGCTTGGAGAAAGAATGCTCCTCAGGTATCCCCAGAGTTTTGCAAGATGAGATTAAGGAAATAAACAGGACTTAGGGGTACACTAAGTGTTTCACTGGAGGGATGGAGAAAAGAATCAAGCGAAGGCCAAGAAGTTCTCTTAGGTGGACCACTTGTAAATAACCATTACACATCATAGATGGAGACAAACTTCCACCTTGGCCAAGAAATATATAGTTGTTTCTAAGTGGGAGGAGACTTCATAATATTTAGATAAGTTAGTCCTATGACAATTCATGTCATAAATACCTATTTTAGACTGACTGCCCTACATGCACAGTAATCCATATTTACTTTAGTAGTAAGGGAAATTTTGGAACATTAAAAAGATTTGCATTTTATTCACACCATTTTCTTTTAGATGTCCACAAAGATGAATTTCATCAAGCCGAAATCTCATAATTTATGGTCTGAAACACATGCCTAACTTCAAATAGAGTTTTACTTGTAAAAAGGCCCTTTTTGTTCCAGTTCTGCATGATATTTAAGTTGCATTTTAAAACTATTTGTATTTTTCCACTTCACCTTTTCCAACTCATTAAGATGGATAAAAAGTATTCAATATAGGAACATTTCTAAAGCTGCAAAAAAAAAAAATGATGACCTTTTTAAACAGATTGAATTTTAAATGAATTGTCAACAGCAGAATGGACTAAGTATATTAACATCTAGAGTCCTGTAGAAATTAAAACTAAATTCAATCAAAACCAATAATGCTGAACTGTTTGCCTGTGGTGCCCAGCTCTCAACTACCAGAATGTGAGAGAATTCTGTAGTTACCAGGTCTCATGACTCAGCAATTAAATTTGAATTTAAGTGACTTTCTTAGTGGAATCAATAAACTTTCTTTGTGGTAATTTTTACCAGTAAGTAGCCAGTAAAAGAGAAAAAAAAAAAAGTCTTATTTCCTGGGGGAGGTTATCCAAACCTTCAGACTCCTCCAGTGCTCCAATTCATTCTGATTCTGAAATGATCAAAATTCAGCCCTTCTTTCTCCATGCTTGTCACTGTGTCTACTAAGAATGTTGTTATTTCTCCCTGGGGCTTTCTCTCTGCCTTATTCCCTTCACTGTTAACATTCTGAGCCCCTTATTCATCTTTGTTTCTCAGCAGATTAGTATATCTAATTGGCCTCAATAAACATTTGATGAATGAACTACTATAACTGAATTGTTCTCTGTCTCACAATAAATTTGTAAGATTTTTAATTTGGAAAATATAATTATCTCTTTTAAAGCATAAAAGTTAGCTTTATACACAGTAGATGTTGCTAAAGTGTTGATTAAAAAGCTCTAACATCTTCCGCTCTTTCTGGTTTATTCTACAAAAGGTAGTTAACCTGTTGGAAATAGGCAGATAATGTTAAACTGTTTTCCTTCTCAAAGATAGGTTTCCTTCAAGCATAAAAATCTGTAACATTGTAGCAACATACAGACCATGCGAAGTAAAGGATCGTGTTTTCCAGAATTTAAAGACTTAAAATATATTCTTCCAAGCATAGCACATGACTATTTCTCATCTGTTTGCCAAAATTTTATTTGTATTTTATTTTAATTCTTTTAAGGTATTCCTTAAATATTATCATGTGGAACAGTTAAATTTAATGCGAAAGGAAGTCATTGACAAGCTTATTTTGATTCAAGCCTATGTCAGAGGATTCTTGGGGTCAAGAAGGTACCAAAAAATACAAAAAAGAAGGAAAGAGAGCGCAATAATAATACAGTCAGGTAATCACTCAGACTGTCTCACAGCCTTGCAAAAACCTCATGTTTAGGTATGGGCATAAAATCCAATCTTACATATAAGTCTCAAATTCTTATGTAGCTTTTGCATTTAATTCCAGACTCTGTTACTTTGATACATTCTCTCTACTAAATCTAAATCAGATTGTTTTAGTGATTGACACTTTTAATATTTGAATAAACGTTTTGTTTTAAATAAAATAATTTGATTTTCAATTTTCTGTCAAGTATTAATAAAACACAATTGACCTATTGTGCAGGAGATAGCAAGTGATTGAATTCATTATGGATCTCAAGAATCATTATATTCCATTAGATAATAAGATTTTTCCTACTTTATTCAAAAGGTTACACTTGCCATACTTTTTGACAACTTAATTAAATCTCATTTTGTTAAAGGGCATCCATTTCTTTCTATTAACTGTAGCGAAATAATATTTATAACCATACTTCAAAATTTTTATTAAAATATATTAATAGACTTTTGGGGTTTTATTTTATAATTTTTCTATAAGAAACAAGTTTAGAACCTGCCATGGCTTGGTATAATATCTTTCGAAGTTTTTTGACTGGACATCCATAGTAAAAAATGTGTTTTATTTACTCTGTAACTTGATGCACACGCATACTACAAACAACATTACTTTAATATATTCTGCTCTCATATCTTCTGCTGTCATCTCTTCTCTCACCTATTTCATTTTTAGACGCTAGATGTGGCCCACTAGATCGATTTTTGATCCACTAATGAGTTAGTCTTTACTCAGAAGAACTCTGATGTGGTGGGCAAAAGAGCTAACTAATATTCAAGAGATTCATGGTCCAGTGCCAAGTCTATTGGTCTATGATGGCTTATCAACTCTTTTGGAATTTTTAAGCCCTTAATTTCTCTCTAAGACATCACAATACAAACCCTGTTTGAGCTCTAATTCTCTACCCATAATTTCAAAATTCATAAAGGTCTAGAAAAAAAGGTTTTCATAACTCATTTGACAATGAAACATGATCACATGATCTTATCTTTACAGTCCTTTATTCATCCCACATGGTAAAAATATTGTTTTTTTGCAGAAATATTTATGTGTTTGACTACTCCCCTGATAGGGGAGTGGTACAGAATATATATTATTTGCTCTGAATTACTTTTCTAATATAAAAAAACTGTAAATCTAAGTTCTGAAATATGTCTGGCTCTAAGGATAATTGGCCAAAAGTTTCAAAACATATGCATAGATAAAAGGGGGATTTTTTTCCCCCCATGAATAGATATGAGCATGGAAAATAAAAGGTAAATAATTACTAGTAAATTTTAAGCAAATGAATACATTTTGTCTTTTTCCTTGACTTAGATCATCTCATCTTAGTTTCATTAAAATCTTTACGATTTTAATAATAATTTTAATATCATTAAGTTCCCTCGTTAACATGAATGGTACTTTAATTATTTTCTTGCTATGAAGTTTGTCATCTAGAAGAGTCTTGTTAATGAGTCCCCTTTTTTTATGGACTTGTTCTATTTGGAAGTGTTAATTTCATTTTCTTCTTTGACACTGATGGTCAAAAAAAAATATTTGTTTCTACTCATTTAAGTAAGTTCTTTTATTTATTATTCTTAAAACTACTCCAGCCCTTATATATTTCAGCTACAAGAGGACATCTGGTCAGGAAACAAAGAAAAGAAATTGTTAACATGAAAAACACAGCATTAACAAACACGCAGACTCAGGATCGGGAACTTGACTACAAGAAAAACTTTGAAAATAAAAGGTATAATAATGTTCATTCTTATACCATTTTTACATTATGGATTTTTTAGATCTATAAGGTAACAAAGTATGTTCACAGTCTTTCTCTTACCAAGTTCCTAATGTGGTGTTACATTAAATGTCCTATTTGGGAGGTCATCTGCATTTCCCACTGATGACCACAATTTCTTTTCTCAGAGTTTTTACTTTACAGGCTTCTGCCAAACTAGTGTACATATCTGCTTCCAATTATGTCTGCATGTCCTGTGCTAATTGCTGTTCCTCTCCCTATATTTAAATCATCCTCCACATCTAAACAATGTCCCTAGATACTCTCATTTATTCCTATGGACTTAATAACCAATATGTCATTAGCCCCTAAATCATTATCCAATTTTCATAGCACAGCATCTCAGTCCTGTCTTCTGCAGAGCCTCATTCCTAGCTTCCTAACAGATCCACCTGATTTTCCTTACATAGAAGATTTTATGATAAGCAGTGGGTACACAGATTTTTTTTTTAACTTCAGCTTTATGAGATATAATTCACATATAAAGTTATAAGTTATTTAAAGTGTACATCCTGGTGATTTGTAGACATATTATGAAAGGATTCTCCCCCTTCAGCTAGTTAATTAACACATACACTATCTCAACATAGTTGTATTTTTGTGTGAGAGAGAGAACATTTACCTTCTACACAGAAGACTTCAGTCACACAATACAATGCTATTAACTGTCATCACCATGATTTACATTAGATGTTCAGACCGTGTTCATCGGATAACTGAAAGTGTGTGCTTTACCAACCTTCCATGTTTCCACCACCCACAACCCCAGGCAATTGCTTTTCTAGTCTCTGTTTCTATGGGTGACATTTTTCCTTTTTAGATTCCACATATAAGGAACACTGTGCAGTATTTGCTTTTCCCTATCTATTTTATTCCAAAATAGTTAATAATGTTTTTTTGAACATGAGAGTACAGAGATCTTTCTGATCTTTGTGATAATGGTTTCATTTCCTCTGGATTTATACCCAGAACTGGGATTGTTGAATCAAATGGTAGTTACATTTTTAGTTTCTTGGGGAGCGTCGTCCTGTTTCCTGTATCACTGCACTGGCTTCCATCCCCACAGCCCGTTCCCTTTGCCTCATGTCCTCACCAACACTTGATGTCTTTTGTGGTTTTGACATGGGTCATTCTGACCTGTGAGGTGATATCTCATTGTGGTTTGAATTTGCATTTCCCTGATGATTAATGATGGCGAGTACCTTTTCATATACGTTTACCATTTGTATGTCTTTTTGCAGAAAATATCTATTCAGTTCCTTTGCCCAATTTTGAATTGAGTTTGGAGTTTTTTGGATTTGAGGTTCTTTTGTTTGTGTTTGTTTGTTTGTTTGTTTGTTTGTTTGTTTGTTTGTTTGTTTTGCTATTGAGTTATATGAGTTCTTTATATATTTGGGACACTAATCTCTTATCAGCCATATGGTTTGCAAATATATTCTTCCATTCTGCCTTTTCATTTCATTGCTGATTTCCTCTGCTGTACAGAAACTTTTGAGTTTGATGTAATCCCTCCTGTTGATTTTTTGCTTTTTTTCCTTTGCTTTGATGTCAAATCCAAAAAATGTCATTGCCAAGATCAATGTCAAAAAAAAAAAAAAAGTAAAAGTACAGCATCAAGGGAGGCCCAGAGGAAAGAGAGTGGAAAATTGGTGAATGGAAGGTGGGACCTCCATTTTAGACTTCCTTCTAGAAAGATGCAGATTAAAGCACTTACCCCTCCAAACTCCGTACTTTCTACCAATTACCAGGAACCCCTATTTTCACTTAACCTTTCACCGGTAGAATCCCTGATCCGTGAACCAGAAAACTATAGTTGGGAGAAGAGTTCAGTCCTGCAAACCTATCTAGGAACTGTCAAAGAGATCTCCATCGCTTCCTACGCTAAAACTCTAAGGTTTGAGCCTCAGTACTTCACTGCTCATGATTCTCTATCCTCCCAGTAATGTGCTGGCCTCAGGCCTTTGATGGAGTGTCTATGGCATGAATCCAGAGCTATAACCGACATGGTATAGACTAGAAAATGTCAGCAGTATGGGTAAGATTCTAACTGCAAATATCAAAACCACCTTATAGATGGGTTTCTTGGAATGTAGTTATTTAATGATTGTATACGTCGCTCATGAATTGCATCTTGACTGATAAAAGCATCCTCCGGCCGTGTTATGGAGGTATTCAAAACACAGCAAATAACCGCACATCAAAATTTTGGGGTTCTTGGTTCCCCACCTAGTTCTCTTATCCCTTGCAGGATAATGGGGATTCTGTTATGCCTCCTGAATAAGGTTAAGGATGCCACAGTAGATCTGGGAAGTGCCAGTAAAATCAGGGACATTAGTCCCAGTATTTTTTTTCCAGGTTTGACTCAAAGAAGAGTTCTTCTTCATAAACAGATTACAAAACCAAATCTCTTCCATGGCCCTCCTGAGCCAAAATGAAAAGGTTTTGGCAAAAGCTTCCCAGGTAGCTTGTCAGGGTGTCCAGTTGTCACATTTTGGTGTTAGCGTCAATTCATGGCTCTGTTGCTCTCGAGTGTTGCCCTCACAGAAAGGAAAAGCTGTGAGGCGTGGCTGTGTGGAGAAGCAAGTGATATAAAGAAGACTTTATCTTCAAGTTAATGGGAAATCATTTTGGATGTTTATAAAGAACCAACTGTGAAATTTTGGCCAACATTTCCTATGATCATACACTTTATCAGGAACACTGCTTTTTCTCTAATTTTATAAGCTGTTTCTTTTTTTTTAATTTTATTTTTATATCCCCATATAATTGCAACCCCCTTATTTTGACCTCTAACCCTCCTTTCCCCGCCCCCCCATAGTGTGTCTCTGGTTCATAGTTGTTTGTTGATTTTGATTTTTTCTTTCTTATAGTTATTCTTTTTCCTGGTCCCTTATTTAAGTTTTCTAGATTCCTGCTATGAGTGAGACCATCCGGTATTTTTCTTTTTCTTTTTGGCTTATTTCACTGAGCATGATCCCTTCCAGTTCCATCCATGTTGCTGCAAATTGCATGTGTTTATCTTTTTTGATTGCTGAGTAATATTCCATGGTGTATATGGACCACATCTTCTTGATCCAGCCATCTATTGGGGGGCATTTGGGTTGTTTCCAAAGCTTAGCTATTGTAAATAGTGCTGCTATAAACATAGGGGTGCGGGTGCTCTTTGGAATTATGTTTCTGTGTCCTTTGGGTAAATGCCTAGGAGTGGAATTGCTGGATCATATGGAAGCTCTTTCTATAAGCTATTTCTTGGGAGCAGTAGGTTTCAACCATGTTTAATGTCTAGCATGTCAGCCCAGTGAACACACTTGCTTATTGGTCTCAAATCCAGATGTATTTCCCACAACATCTCACAGTGGGTACTTTGTTTTGAAAGGGGCATATTTGGAAGTGTTTATTTACTATGACTTTTACTTTGATGCTTCATTAAATGATAATAAGCTAGGATATTTCTTACTCTAAGTTGATGCAGGTTTTCTCATCATATGAGTATTCATCACAGTTGTTGCTAGAGAAATTATCTTAGGAAACACTTGATTAATATGAGTTTTAAATTCTTTTTGTCCCTTTTTCCATTTCCTGGTTTGTTTTTTCTCCCAAAATTAAGTGACCAGTAACCATTGCCCAAAGAGGGTAATAAACTCTAGATCAGTATCATATATTCAGATGCAATATGTTTTATACAGGGAGTCTTTTACGAAAAAAATGACAGAATATGGCATCTCTGCTAATGGAACAATCATTCCAGCTTCAAATAGTAAAGGGACGACATCGGTCGTGAAGACGTCTTCTTTCAAAGCTGAAGAGGAAACCACTAATGCTTTGCAGAGTATCAACAAGGGATATCTAGCTCAGAACAAAATCAATAACATGGCTGGGGATGAGGCCAAGCAGGAATTGCACCTGGGGGAGGACTCTTGGGCAGAAGTAAGCCCCAAACAGAAATATATCAGAGACTTGGAAGAGAACAGTAAAATGAGGAAGATGGAGAGAGAGGACACTGTAGCAGAGAATTGCTATCAGAGATTTACAGAGGAAAGGAATTTTGAAGAGTCAAAAGCAGCCTATGTAGGAAGGAATGGTAAGCCAGAAAGACCCAGTGTCCCAGGACTTTGGTTAGCTGAGAGTGAGACTAAGCAGCCTTCTTTTAAAAAACCTTTGGAACCTCGTTTTAGCCAGAGATCACTTTATCAAAATGCAAATAGCAAGGAAAAGAGGACATCCGTGGCCACCCAAAATGCACCCATATGTAGCAAGGAGAGAAGCCATTGGATGTCTGAGACAGTCAAGGAGAAGCAGGTTGAACCAATGATCTCAACTTGTGAAGAAGACAAAGCAGTCATGTTCATTCAGAGCAAATTCCGAGGTTACAAGAGAAGGCAGCAAGTGAGGAAGGACAGGATGTCTTCTTTTAAAAATCACAAGATTGTTGCAACACCAACAGAAGCAGCAAGAAATACTAACAATCTGTATTCCCATCACACAAAACATGAGGAATCTTGTAATATCAACATGAATCATGATGATCTCTCAAAAAGCATTTCAGAAAAAGAAGCATGGGACTTGGCAATTTTTTCAAAACAGGTATGTAAATAAATTTATTTATTAATAAAAAAAATCTTTGCAAAGACACAAAAGCTCAATTGAGCAGTTAATAACTGATTCATTTTTTCATCTCTTTTTTTTTGTGAGACTAAAACCCCTTTAAAAAAGAAGTCTTCAAGGGTTGTGCTATGCAAATAGTCATAAAACTTTAAACCAACTTACTATGATAAAAATAGTATAGAATATAGTAGAAATCTTGAGGAGACAAATTGTTGGCTCATACAACTTATTAAAATACTGGCATTTCACAGTGCCAATTTTTCATGTACCTAAAAATCTTCTGTTATACCTTTTAAAGAAGTTTTCTAAATCTATAAAGTCTATGCTTTCTCTGCTCCAAATTTTGAGAAAATTGTGTTAGGTAACCATACCGAGGCATACACGGCATGATGATGAAAACCTACATGTTACAACATGACAATGAGGACTCAGAAGCAAAAATTACATTGGAGAAGGTCTCGTGCTGGAAGTAGGCATGTTCCAGCTCTTTCTAAGACCAGCAATTGGCTTTCGAGCCGCTAAAGGGCATCCTGATAAATTAGCAGCATGGAGAGCTCCTGTAAGTGCAGATTCTAGGTTTTGCTCTTTCTCCAGGTCTTTGACCTTAAGAAAACCACATTATGTGTCATACTTTTGTTTTCTCCTGTGTAAACTGAAGAATTTTAACTACTTGACCTCTAACATACATATTATAAATTAATATGAATAACCAGGCTAGTTAATAGTGTAGAGGATCATTGAAGAAATTTCAAGTGTTGGTTTAAAGGACTGTCTAGTCCTCTTGAGTCGCTAACCTCTGTGGTGGCTGAGTCCATGAGAAAGCACAATAACTGCCCTTGATGCCCCCTGAGTGTTAGAGGTGTGGCCCCAAAATCTCCAACTTCTGTTAGTAAAAACCTGCCATTGACTAATTCACTTAGCCCCTTTCTGTTCTTTTTTTTTTTAAGTATACACAGAAATAGTAAGTTTAATATACATGTGGTCCTTCTTTTCTTGGTGCATAAATTTCTAATTCAAAACACCAAATCAGAGATTAATACCCTCACCCGCTATAAGCCAAGACATTGAGGAGATATAGAATGACAGGTCATCACCTAAGAACTGGCTAATAATGCCATTGGAGTGGATTCAGCATCACATAGGGACAAAGCTACAGGCAGAGAAGCAGGAGCCTCACATTCAATCCAGCAGGAAAAAGGCTGTGTTAATAGATAAGACAGAGAGGAGGAGCCAGAAAAGCACAGCCCCGAAGTTGGGCTAAGAAGTCTGCAAAGGGAAGGAAAGAGTTGACAGGCAAAGGCAGCAGTGGGATTCCTTGGGATAAAGGCAGAAAGGCAATCACAGCAATGTGGGGAAGATGGAAGCCAGGTCTCAGGAACCCCAGGAAGGAACTGATCAGAAGAGATTACTCTTTGTAGCATTACATGTTTGGCAGTTTGAATGGAAAATGTGAGATGAGCAAGTAGCACAAGAGGGAGAGGTTATGGCCAGTGAGGACTTCATGAGACCTTGTTACAAGGGTAAGTGTGGGTGCTGGAGAGGAAGGACTTGAGAGTCCCAGAGATAGTTGACCAGAACTTGATCAGAGCCCATTGTACCTATGGAACTCTCTGAATTAATTTCCTTGCTTTAATCTGACATATGACCTTCTTTTTAGATATCAAAGCTGTCTGAAGAATATTTCATTCTGCAGAAAAAACTGAATGAAATTATTTTGTCACAGCAACTGAAGCCTCTGTATCTGGGTATCTGTCCTCGTATGCCAATTGATAGACGAGTTTCTTCTCAGCACTGCCTCTCAGGTAAAAATCAGTAGTAAGAACTTTCTGAGAGAAAAGAAAATGCCAATACTTTGCTTGTTCATTGGCTCCCTATCTTTATTCCATGGACAATTTGAGAGGTTGCTGTGTTTTGTCTTGAGGAAAGCTGTTATTTCATTCCATTTCTTATAAACACATACACACTTTTCCAGAATGTTCTACCTATCTCCTAGTTTTTCTGACTTCATTGTCCTCCTCTTGTCTTTTTTTCCCTTACAAACACTTTAACTAGGACTTAACATATGACAACTATACAGAACTAGGAAGGGGTGGAGAGGGAGAAGGAGAGTACAGGGTTAAAGGGGAGCAACCAAGTGAAATGTGTCTATTCTTTTGTCAGTATCTGCAACTCAGTGTCTTGAGTTGAGTTTGAAAGATGCAGATCTCCATTCACATGTACCACCCCAGATGCACCAAGAAAATCATTATTAAAGTTTCTTTTAAGCAACCTCAGTCACATTCTGTGCCCCTCCACTCAGCTGGTAGGAAATTGAATCTCAGAAATTATCAGCCCCCACCTCCCTGAAGACTGTGCAAAGGCTTGAGAGCCTTATGCACCCACAAAATGATCAAGTAGAGCCTGTGGTCACTAATCATTTGCCCACACAGTTAACTGGACAGATCTCCTAACTGAGCTCATGACCCCTTCAGATCGGTATGGCTTGCTCCCATACCTGTCCCAAAGGGAGTACCCAGAATCTAGTGGCAGGATCCCATTGAGTGCACACATGCTGAAGTCATCATCCTCTCCACAGCCTTATCACCTCCCCCAAGGGCAGCCAGTAAAGATGTAAAGAGCCCCAGAAGCTCCACCCTGCTGACCTCTGTCTGGGAGAATCTACAGTTATTACACTTTGCTTATTTTCTCTTGCTTTCTCAGAGGCCAGGCCTTCCCTCTTTTCCCACCCTGTCCGGGACACCTGCAATAATCTCGTTCTTTCCAAAGACAGGAAGAGTTACAAACTTCATGCATCTTCTGATTTTATCCCTGCAAGAACCCCTTAGGCAGAAAAATACTAAGATGAACTTAGCTATTTGCCTGATCTGGGAGAAAGGGAGAATGTCTTAATGTTTCAATCAGTTATCCTGCCACATTGCCTAGAATTGTGGTGAAGCTTCAAAAAAACAGCTCCCCACAGAGTTGCTCCCTCTACCCCCTGCTGCTTGAAGGCCCTGGTCCAGACCTCTTTGCTGGGAAGAAGCAACTTAACAAATCAGAGCCCAGAGGCCCATTTAGTCTTACTGCCACCAAAGACCCTGCCCAGATGGCAGGCTGACAGGGGTGCAGACAGGGGAGGCAGGAACTCCAGCTCCGTCTTGGTTGTGAAGGCAACAGCCCTGGTACATGGAGTTGTGTCCTACAAGCTGGCATGTCTGTGCGGGCAGCTCAGCCCTTTCCTCAGCAGACAAGCTGGAGGGAGGGGCTTTCTCAGTGGGGAGGGCCTCTCCGCCCTTTGGTGAAGTTGTTCTTATTCCATTGTCAGCAGAGTCACAAGAGTTTTTTTATAGCTGACACCCATCGGTCTGGATGGTTGGGCTGCTTTCCTCATGTTTCTGCCAAGAAAGGCTTGATTAATAAGTATTCTTTTGCTAAAGGGCAAAAAAGAATAAACTGCACATGTGGGACAGAGAAACAGGATCGAAGAAATTTTATGAGTCACCTTCTAACTAAAATCTTACTGTAGGGTTTTAAGCTGGGTTTTTTTCCTGCATTCACTTGTTGTTATCTTTTTTGGGAAAAGGTCTATCAGGTCCTTTGCCAATTTCTTAATCAGATTGGTAGTTGTTATGTATATGTGTATTTATTTATTTAACTATTGAGTTATTTCAGTTTCTTATATTTTTTCAGATATTAACTCTTTATCAGATATATGGTTGCAAATGTTTCCTCCCAGTCTACAGATTGCCTTATCAATTTGTTGATAGTTTCCTTTGCTGTGCAGAAACTTTTTAGTTTGATATAATCCCACTTGATTTTTGCTTTTGTTGTGTGAACTTCAGGTGTCATATCCAAAAAGTCATTGCCAAGGCCAATTTCAAGGAGCTATCTTTTCTTCCAGGATTTTTATGGTTTCAAGTCTTATGTTTAAGTCTTTGACTCATTTGCATTGACTTTTGTATATGGTGAAAGATAAGGTCCAGTTTCATTCTTTTGCAAGTGGATGTCCTGTTTCAGCATGGTTGACTAAGGAGAATGTCCTTTCTCAATTGTGTGTATTCTTGGCACCATTGTCAGAAATTAGTTGACTGTATATGCTTGAGTTTGTTTCTGGACTGTCTGTTCTGTTCCATTGATTTGTGCATTGTGTTTTTATGCCAGTGCTATATTGTTTTGATTACTTAATACAGAAATCAAAGAGTGTGATGCCTCCAACTCTTGTCAACAGCCTTAAAAGCAGTAGAGTTTACTGCCAAGTTAAATTAGTTGACTTTATTCTTTAGTCTGCCTTTTCTAAAAAATGAACTAAGAATATCAGAAATCAATTCCAGGTTTATAAGGAAAAATAATTACTCAGTGACATTTCTTTAATTCTTCAAGTTCAATGAAAGAATCTTTTTATTTTGTGTATATGTTAAGAAGTTACATACTCTACTATACTGATTTAAAGCTACATTGGCAGACATCAGAATTGCCACATGTTCTTAAGAAAAGTATAAGCAGGGCCTGAAAGAGGGCTAAGGGGATCTGTGGGCACAGAGGGATCTAGGTAGACCTGACATCCCAGAACCAAGGAATAAGGGAGGACACTGGAAGATACAGTCAATGCCAATGACCAGAGATTAGGCCAGTGCAGTTGCTCTCAGCAGATGCCAATGAAAACCGAAGTATAGCTACAGAAAATATGACCTGTCCCCATTAATGCCATGTAGCTGCAAAAGTCCCCCCACTCCTACCTTCATGTGACCCAGGGAGAAATAAAGAAGGGTCAGAAATCTAAAAATGACTAAATTTACTTCGAAGACACTCTAAAATTTGAAAGACACCAAGTCTAACTAGGATTCATTCAAAGCTACCTAATGGTAAGAAACAGAAATGAGCACTAAGAATCAGCATTAAGTATAGTTTTTGAAAAACGTGTTATATTTGTGGACACCTAAATTGTAAATTGTGAAAATTTAAACCTGCCCTAGACAACTGCACTTCTGAGAGGTCATTCTAATTGTGTCATGTGAATAAGACTTGATGGCATGAAGGGAGATATGGAAGACCAGCAAGAAACAATGGTGATTTGGACGAAGTGGCAACTGAGAAGGTTAACAATTTTAAGCAATGGTTAGCGAGTAGATGACCTGCAAGGTAGGCAGGTAAACATGTATGGTGATTGCCTTGGAGCAGATGAGATCATCTGGGAGGCCCTCCTACATGAGGGGAGACGAGATGCCAGAGCAAGAGTTTGCACGTGATAGGGCAGGTAGAGAGGAACCAGCAGGAGGAGCAACAAAGCACTGGGAAGAAAATCAGGAGGCTTCATCCCTCAGAAGCAATGAGAAGAGGATTTTTTTTTTCACAGGTTGTGCAAAGGCACTTAGGTTGTTTCTATGGCTTGGCTATTATAAATATTTCTGCAATAAACATGAGAGTGCAAGTTTCCTTTCAAGTTAGTGTTTTTGTGCTCTTCAGATAGATACCTAGAAGTGGAATTGTTAGGTCATATGGCAGATCCATTTTTAATCTTCTGAGAATAAATGTTACTCTTGCCTTCCTCAAATAGATTTTCAACTCTTTGCAAGCAGGGCCTTGTCATATACTAATGCTTGTTTTTCTCTTATCCTATGACATTTATTCATCATATAATAGACAGCCAATAACTGCTTACTAATGGGCTAGAAAGCTGCTTAATTTCCTTCAAGAAATATAGTGGAGCAAAATATAGTGGTCGTTGAAGTGAAGATTTGAAAGCACAAAAAGTGTAACATCTGTTTTCCCAACAAATACTTTGACATAGTGGGACCCATTAAATAACCCCCTAGTTATATTTTTGTAATATTTCAAAGTTAGATGCTATAAAATTAGGCCATATCAACTTCATTTTATTCTGTTATTAAGTATGAATTTAACTAATTAACAATAACAACTCCAATGAATATTTTTTCCAAGTCAGATATACCAAACACAATTTCAAAATTATTGAGTTGTTGCAAAAGTCATTGTGCACTTTTTCTGTTTTATCAAAGAAAAAATATGTCATGAGTTTTCTGACAACCCAATATATTTTATATATTGCTTGAACATAAATTTTTGAATTTGTTAAATTCCTACTTTGATTTTACTGTGACAAATAAATGTCCATGGATTCTCATTTGCAAGTTTTATTATTAAAAACTATAATCCAATAAAACTGCCAAAAATCTGAAAAAATAATGCAACATTACATTCTTTAGTGTTAATTTATTTTCTTATGCTATTCACTTTTAAACCCCATCTTGTCAGAAAAAAGATCTTAATATATAGTAGTCCTGTCTCCTCAGATAATCAGCATTCGTAACCATAGAATTTGGTAGCTCACAGTGCAAGCATCTGTCTTCAGCTGCGGAGGCAGAGTTAGCTGATAATCTATAGGACCTGTTAATGAGGGTTCAGCAGGTCACCCCTGCAGTACTGTCCTCCATGACAAGCTATGCCTCCCTGTAAAATTTTTTGCATGGGAAACCAAACTTAAAGTTGTTTACAAATAATTCTGTCATTAACATAATCTCCTGAAATTTTCCTTATCTCATGTTTCTCAAAACTCTATATGCTTTTTCAAATAATTGCTATATCCAACTCTGTTCTAAGAATTCAATTAGCTGGATTATGTAGAGTGTCCTAGAAAAGTTTCTTACCTATTCTAAAGACAGTCCTATAACACAAGGAAAATAGGTTTTTTGAAATTATGTTTAACAAACTATAACCTTATTGTACAAGATTTCTCTTTCTGTGAGATATATTTTTAAATATCCAAGAAGGGCATGAGTAAAATAATGTCCATGTGAAAACTGAG